TTACAACAAAAAAGTAGGGCAGATCTTGAGATCATACCCAGGGCTTGTCCAGTCACCCTGTAACAGCAGCAGAAGCTAAACCAAACCATGTGCCCACCAGCCACTGGATCCCTCCTTTGTGTCAGGCTGTTCAGTATTTGCTAACTTGCCAATCTAGAAACGCCATTCCAATCCCAGAGAACAGAAATCACTTCTGATAAAAGAAAAACTAAGTTAGCACCTCTTCCAAAAATACTCCTCTAAGGATAGAGCCGGCGCAGGACAGCTCTGCCAGCACTTTCACGCTAGGAAGGGAAAGTTATCCAAAATGAGTAATTGTGAAATACACGAAACGTTTCTCACTGCACAGTCAAAAACGCTGCAGTAGATGCAGCCAAACTTACCATGAACCTTTAGGGTAGCTGATGTCTTGTCTTCAGGTGCTTCACACGTATAGGTTCCTTGATCTTCATATTCACACTTGTGAATAATGAGGCTTCTCTTATTTCCCTGGGAAATAATCCCCACTTTTTTACTTTGCCGGAGTTCCTTCCCATCCTAGAAGGCAAAAGGCCAAACCAGATCACCACCATCTCTTCTGTGTCTGCTCCAAGCAAAACAAACATTCAGATCCATGCTTAATTCACCTCCCTCATTGGACTTAATGGAGCTGTGCTCACTGGAATGTGTGTTGAAACTTCAGCACAGCGCAAAGGTTTCAGGGGTAGGAATGGCTGAAGCACATGCATAACTTTTGGTTGTCCTCAGACACCTGTTTGAAGGCTTACATCACCGTACAGGGTTGGCAATAAGCCCCTTTGGAGAATACCTCGAAGAAATGCTGTTATCCCTATTGCACTGGTTTGGGTTGGAAGGAACATTATAGACCATCCAGTTCTGATTTAAGGGAAGTATCAGCTGAGCCTCAAGGAAGGTTCATGAAATGCCAGAGCTGATCTCCAAAATGACTGTCAGGTGAAAGGGAATTGAGGCTTCACCTTAAATCACAATTCCCACTGAGGTTATGAATCCAGGGTGGGAACTGCTAGTCGTGAAGTAAATCATAGAATCATGGAATGGTTTGGGTTGGAAGGGACCTTAAAGATCATCTAGTTCCACCCCCCCTGACATGGGCAGGGACACCTTCCACTAGACCAGGTTGCTCCAAGCCTCATCCAGCCTGGCCTTGGACACTTCCAGGGATGGGGCATCCACAGCTTCTCTGGGCAACCTGTCCCAGTGCTTCATCACCCTCTCCGGGAAGAACTTCTTCTGGATATCTCATCTAAACCTCCCCACTTTCAATTTAAAGCACAGGACTACACTGCTATCAACAGCAGAGCTCACTTTCTGTGCAACAACAGCTCAGGAGCTTACTGTAAACTCAGAAATTTAACTTTCAACCCAATAAAGGCACCCAGTAAATAAATAACACTGAGAACAACGAACTGAGCAAGTAAAAGAAAATAAGGACACAGGAGCAGTACTAACAGCTGTACAGCAAAGGCACAGCCTAACGTCACCTGGAAGTGAAATTAAAGGCTCTCATTCCCTTCCAGAGAAGTCAGGAATTAAAATACCACTATCTGTCAAATGCTGTACCTTGAACCACTTAACATCCACGTTGGGCCTGGACAGCTCACACTCAAACGTGACCTTGTCCTTCTGAGTTACGCTGACGTCTCCCAAAGGTTTGCTGATTCTCACAGGCAATTCTGCAACAAAAGTCCAGTTAGTGGGGATTTAGGTCTGCAGGACCACGTGGCACAAGGAATGGTGAAGAGACAGAGCCTAGTTTCCATGTTTAATAAAACTTGTAACAGAATCCTATTGTTTTGAGCACATTATCTTTAGTTGTTCTGTGGGTAATGGCGTAACAATAATCCTGTTGGCATTAGAAGGATATATTACTGATGATGGCCCAGTCCTTAACATCCCTCGCAGGTAATAAGAAAGCTTGTTGCTCTCTTAAAAGCTCGCTCTCTGGGTCAGGAGAAGACAACCATGTCCCCACACCAGCCAGGGCCTGTGTACCTGTCACAGTGAGCATCCCTGACGAATGAATGCCATCTGCTTTGAAGGAGATGAGTCCTGCGTCCTCAAGAGTCACCGAAGAAAGAGTCAGTGAATGTTTCTTCCCCAGGACACCGATACTGATATTCGGTGCAGGCTTCAGCCGAACGCCATTCTTCTGCCAGGTGCCTTCCACGTCCTTGTGTGACACCTCCGCCTCGAAGGTGATGGTCCCTTTCTCAAACACTTCAAGGGGCTGAAGACCTTTCACCAGTTTGATCTGCCTCACTGGAAAAACAACATGGACAAGTTGGAAAACTCACACTGACAGCTGTGAAACAGCCTGAACACTTCCAAAAATAGATTATTCCCCTATTCCTCATGCAGGTACCTGCCAATTAATTGCTGTCTGCCAATTAAACAACCACTTTACAGGAAATAAAACCCATCTATGACCATACTACTAGTATGGCTGCTATTATAGCATCACAGGATGGTTTGGGTTGGAGGGGACCTTAAAGACCATCCAGTTCCAACCACCCTGCCATGGGCAGGGACACCTTCCACTAGACCAGGTTGCTCCAAGCCTCATCCAGCCTGGCCTTGGACACTTCCAGGGATGCTACTCTTAAAATGGATGCTTCCTGCTGGGACAAACATTGCAGAAATGGTCAAACTGGCCCTTTTTCCATCAAGGTCCACCACACTCATTCTCTAGGCCAGAAATGAGCTTTGAAGTTGTACACACGCACAGAGGACTGGAGTCATTGCTGTGCTGGGTGAGGTGGTCACCAATAGCCATCAGGAAAAAAAACACTCTTAGAAGATGATACCACTGCTGTTATTTATACTGAGATCAGGTTCCCTGTGCTGTACAAGACAGGTGTTGCTGAAAATACGTATTATATTTCTACCTTCCTAGTGGATGTTTAGCAGAGATAATCCACATTCAGCCAGGATCTGAATGTAAACATGACCCGGAGTGGGCTGTAGTCTCTGTTCTGTGGTCATGGCCTGGACCCAGCTCCTGGGCTGAGGACGCCACGGCCTCTCTGAGGCTCAAACATCTCCTGATGGCACCTGTCCTTACAGCAGGGAACAAATTATTTCTCCAGAGGTCCCACAGAGGTGGTGTGAATATGCTATGGCTTTATTAGCAATCTGGGTAGGAGCACAGCACTGTTCTCCACAGGAGGGCAGCAGCAGGCTCCATGGAAAACCATCTCCTTACCCCTTTCCTGTCTCCCCTGTTGCTTATATGTGAATATGCTATGGCTTTACTAGCAATCTGGGTAGAAGCACAGTACTGTTCTCCACAGGAGGGCAACAGCAGGCTCCATGGAAAGCCATCTCCTTACACCTTTCCTGTCTCCCCTGTTGCTTATTACACCCCACAGCAGGTTGAGAGAGGAGCATACACATCCTTTGCAGGATCCTGTCTAATTCTTCTCTCACAGAAATCACACTGATTCCTCTCTCATGGTCTTCTCCCAGGTCACAACCACTTAAGATCAACCACTTTATGACCTTAAAGGTTTTTACCAACCTAAAAGATTCTGATTCTAAGCACAAATTTGCCTCAAGGACATGAACCAGACAAATGAGGGAAGTACTGACATCTAAGAGCTTGTTCAGTGCTTCCAAAACTAAGACACCCGCTCTCCTGGCTTTGCCCACTGGAATTTGCATCAGTCCCCAGTTTCTGATCTGATTTTGCAGCCAGTCTGTATTGCCCCAGGGTACCTCGTTCTCTAAACAGGACACGGTGTACCTGCTACCAGTGAACTTTTCCCTGGGGTTAATAGACACTCCAACCCCTCAAACAGGGACAAGGATGAAAATGAAGTTATTCCAAGGAGATAACGAAAGGGACTTGCAAAAAAATGAGTTAAATAGCATATCAAATTTCTAAATCAGTAAGTGGCCTCCTGGACAGAACAAAACCCACTTTTTCAAAGGTCTTGTCATAAAGCAGCAATAGTTGGGGAATTCTACAACTTTTGCAGTACTTATTTTAATAGAAAATACTCACGATCCCAGTATAACTTCTGCTATAATTAATTCACCTAATTCTGCTTTTCCCTGCTGAAAGATTAGAGGTGTTTCAGAGGATCACTTTACCCATCCCTTATGTTTTCTACAAACATCTCCTCGTGCTCAGAACTGAAGAGAGACATTCAGACAGATATGTTATTGGTTTCAGCAGCTCAGGTTTTTTTAGGATCTCCTGGCACCTGAAGATCAGAACAGATGCTTATCTTTTGATGAAGCAACTTCTATACTGGAGTAACTCAACAGATTTTCACGTAGCTATTCCTTATTTAGCTTGCTCTGAAAGCAATCTCAGGCTAACTAGCATCTGTCCAACCAGGTGGGTTGTTTTTTTTTTTTTTTTTAAAAAAAAGGTCCTGAAAGCAGGCTGCTTAGGCTAAAGCTGAGCACCAGATAATGGTAGCTTAGTTCCCCAGACTGTGAGCATTTAAAGAATTTCTTCTGACCTCAATACAAGCTCTAACGCAGTCTACTGAAAAAAGGCCATTTGCTTAAATGCCAGAAAAGTGGAGCATAATTTTAGACTTCTATTTTTAGAGTTTTGCTTTCACTGTGAAGCAGTGTGAGAGCTTGGTGCTGTCTCAACTGGAGGACTTGGATGTGGAATACATACAGTCTGGTGAGATTCTTGCATATGGCCGTTTTCCTGCTGCATCTCAACTAAAGCTTGGCTGACCATTTACTGCTACAGTGACCTGATTCCCCTTTTTGATCATGGTCCCTTCTCAGATCACCTTGAGTTTCCATCACTGCGTGAAATTCTCAGTTCATCAACAGAGAAGCTACTTTTTTACAGTGACAGTAAGTGTAAGTGATGAGAATGCAGATGGGTGCCTGGGAAGCACAAAAAATAATCCTCTCTCTCCATCAGAATAGGAAGTTTATAAACCAGAGACAGATACACGCTTATACCTGCAAGACCCACCTTGCGCAAAACGCTGTTGACAGCTATCAGGACTACCTAATAACTTCCTATACAAACACTGTTCCATCATATTTTGATTTACCACTTGGCTATAGTAACAGTCAGTTCCTAAAACCAGGTGTATCTAACTGAATCTACAACCAACTGCTGAAACATCTTGCTGGAAGGGAAATGAGTATCACCCAGAGTCTGAAACAAATGCCTTGGGGTGCAACCGGTGGAAGAGGATGGAGCAGCAAACTGCCCTGTGCTGCACTGCATTCTTCCAACACATTGTGACTGTGGAAATGTTATCTTCTGTGGATCCAGATAATCTGATTTAACTGAGATAGTAAACCCGAGTCCAGCTTTAAATCAGGATCACAGTCACCCATGGTTCCTTGAATTCTCAGATACTCCAGAGGTACTTCAGTGGATCTAAGACTTTCTGAAGGTATTTTCTTCTCTCTGTTAGCTACAGAAGGAGCTGTAAGTAATGTGCTGGATTGAGGCTTCACGAACCCAAGACTAATCTACCAGCTGCTAGTCGCTGCTAACATCTGTTTTTTCTAGCACTATTCAGTTTGGAAAAAAGATGAGCAACCACCAATAGAAGTGATCACTGCCCTGTACCGGGATGCTTAAGCAGTGGGTTTTTTTTACAGCCAGGAAGACTTTAAAGATGAGACTGTTGTAACAGTACATGGAAGTGGTTTGACAACCCCTTCTCTGTATGAGGCACTCTGTCATCAGTTTTTTATCATCTTTGATTCCATCAGAAGACCACAAGATTATAAGTCTGGAAAGACCTAGAAAATCAGCTAGCCCTTCTCTCCTGCTCCAGGATAGGCACAGCTCTTTACGTCATCCCAGACTTCTATTTCACTAACCTTTTCTTAAACCCATGATGGAGGCTCCAGACCTTTCCACACAATCTATTCAGTTATCTAACTCTTAAAAAGCTTTTTTATTGTATAACCTGGATCTTTCTTTTTGCAATTGAAGTCCATTATTACCTATCATTATTTCCACATGGAGAACATATTGTTCCTTTCCGCCTTATAACAGCCTTTTATGTACTTGAAGTCTGTTATCAAGTCCTTCCTTACCTATTATTTATGACCTACACAGCACCAATTGGTGGCAGGGGCTTTACAGGCAAAACTAGATAGTCCTTAAGTGCTTAAATCCTGTTGTCATTTATCCTGTAACCATCATGCCATAGGGATGTAGGAAGGAGAGAAGTAGAGGGTACAGCTGAGACACTGTTGGCTTACTTGAAAGGGCAGCACCCTCAGATAGAAAATCTGCTCTTGGAGCTTTTTTAACCCCGACTGAATAGGAAGAGACATTCTGAAAGAGGTGGTTTGGAGAGAATTAGAGCAATGGATGGCTGAAGAGGGAATGGTTTTCTAAAAGCCATTCAAAGGAAAGAATAGAGTGTACCAGAGTGAGACATTTCAGAGGAAAGAGAAGAATCAGCTAAGTAGTTTAACGGTCAACAGCATGAGTGAAAGCTGGTGGGATGAGATGGAGGCAAGAAGAACCAGCCAGCCATTCTCTGTTTACTGCCCACACTTTCACCTCCTCTCAGTCGTTTAACTGGTGGCCAAGCCCATGTTTGTGTCCCTGTGACCCCATGGCATGTGGGGGGTGGCAGTGGCTATTATGATAATGGAAGAGACCAAAATCCATCTCCAAACCCTGTCCAGGATACTTATAGAACTGTAGATCATTCAACTCACTTTCTACGTTGATCTTGGCCTGGGTCTTGTCATCAGGACTCTCACAGCAGTAGAAGCCCCTGTCTGCAAAGGTGATGTCCTTAACCACCAAGGTATGCTTTGCTCCCTCAGCTTTGATCTCGACTTTTTCACTGGGCTTCAATATGATGCTGTTTCTCATCCACTTCACCTCTGCAGGCTTGGTCAGCTCTACCTCCAAGGTCACTGTGTCCCTCTCTTCGACTGTTCTGGGCTCCAGTTTCTTCTTGAAAGAGATTGAGGCTTCTGCCAAAGGAGAAGAAATAGTAATAAGAATGTAGAGGATGCAGAAAACAAGCTTTCAGAGAAAATTAAAATGGTGGCTCACAGTCCCAGTGCATTCCTTGCATCCCTATTTAATTATGGGAAAGCAGAATTGCCCTACTGCTAACATAACCAGTTAGAGGAAAGGCCACATAGAACATCACAGGTCATTGTGTCAGCGACAACCTGTCAGAGGAGCAATATTGCCTCCTACCTCGGACTCTGAGATTGGCTGTGCTTTCTACACCCTCAGCATTGGCGGAGATTTCAGCTGCATCTTCCAGCATCAGATCAGTGATGGTGAGGCTGTGGTTGGTGCCCTTCTGCGAGATCACATATTTCTTGCTGGCTTCAATCTTGACACCATTCCTGAGCCAAGTGACCACGGCATCACTGGGAGAGACGGTGCACTTGAACACAGCCTCTTTTCCTTCCTCACAGACCACGCTGCTGAGACTTGTAACAAACTTCACCACTCTGGGAGCTGATGGGTAAGAATAAAACATTTAGGAGGGTATGTCTGAGACGCAGCATAAAGCACCTTCAAAGAGCCAAAAGCTTTGATGATTTTATTGGAAGCATCGATTTTTATTACTTACAGTACGTGATCACAATAATGGGACATCACTTTTCCCGTGTCTGAGCAAGTTTTGTGCACAGCGATGCCAGAAGAAAGAAGCAAACAAGGAGAGGGGAGGAAAAAAAAAATCCCACCTGACATTTGGGATACTTAATTCTAACCTTCATGTTGTATTTGAGGCTGATTTGCCCACATATTAAGAGACGTGGGCTCAACAGGTCTCAAAATCATTATGTTCTTCACAAATAGAGGTTCCACTGACACTGAGAGAGGAAGTTTTGTATTTTGCTGTCAACGCAGGAGACAGCACAAAGACAGGAACAGACTCAGCTTTGCAGAGTTGTAACAGCCAAGAACAAAACCCACAGACCCCTCTACACTCTCACCACAAGAGACATACCTTTGGGGGTGACGGTAATGCTGCTCCTGTCATCTCTGGACTCACAGGAGTACTCTCCCTCATCCTCAGCCCGGATCCCCGTTATTGTCAGGGTTCGTTTGACCCCCTCCTCGTGAATCTGGAAATGCTTGCCAGGCTTGATCTCAACGCCATTCCTGCGCCACAGCACCTTCCCTTTGGCGTGGCTCACATCACAGGTCAGAGAGACGTTGCCTCCAATCTCAGCATTAACGGCTTCGAGCTTTTTGGCAAACTTCACTGGGATTTCTGAGATCCAGAAGGTAAAATGATGAGAAAGGAAAAGATAAGAAGCCCAGCCTAAGAAACTGGTTCTGGCTAACTTTAGAAGTGAATAAATAAATAAACAAACAGAACAACCAATCCCAGAACATATTTGGGGATCAAGGTAGACAGAAAAGAAACCTGAAAGGAGGAAATTTAGGGAGATTCATTTGACATGGTATTTTAATATCACTATCATTCTGTAAAGCAAAAACAGTGACTTATGACGTGGTTGGGTATTGCCTTCCTTACCTTCTTACCTGATGAAACCACGCAGTGTTTTTACACTGGAGCCCGATTTGCCTGACTAAGTGTAAAAATCTGTAGGATGCATAAGCCTCCACCCCCTGTGTCTCTTCTGTCACTGGAGACACAGCCAAGGGAGTCAGAGAAATCCAGGGTGAGATTTCTCTCATGCAGGAGACATTTCAAGAGATCAGGAGCTGAGGGAGTGTATCCCAGCTGCAGACAGCTCTAGTGCTACTATCTGGAGAGAAAGGAGCAGGCTTTTGCTCTGGGACATCACCCCTCTCACCTCCATCTGTGGCCCAGCTGTATTCTTGCCAATTCATAGCCTCAGTCTTGATTAGGGAAGAGCACCCCAGGTGCACCATCCCGGGAACTAAGGAAGATACAATTCAGATCCCATTTCCCTGTGTGACTAACTCCCAAATCTCCTCACGCATCCCCTTCTACACCCTCATCAGCCTCGTCATGCTGGTGAGCAGAGTGGGGCAGAGCCCCGTGCCCCAGCTACTGGCATCATTAGGAGACAAAAACAGTGTGATGAGAGTGAGGACCAGACACTAGGAGAAGCACCCATCATAGGCCTCCTTGTTCTCCTGAGTGGCTAGCAAAGGACAAAACCCGGCTATTTGGAAGCAGGAGAACTTTGCTGGCCGATGATGGGGCAGCCACAGCAGCTGCAACAGCAATTCAAGCCTTGAGGTTGGAATAGTTTCAGAGAGTTTGGACTTCCATCCTACCACGAGGGAAACGTAGCTGTAGGGTTGGGACAGGACCTGTGTGCTGCTCTCTGCTCACCTTTCACTTGCACTTTGAATTCCTGCTTGTCGCTCCTTGTCTGGCAAGCGTACACAGCAGCGTCTGTGCTCTCAGCCAGCTTCACCGTCAGCGTCCTGGAGGCCCCCTCACTCTTGATCTCATATTTTTTGCTCGCCTTGATTTCTGTTCCATCCTTGAACCACTTTACTGCAGCAGTTTCAGGCGTTACTGAGGTAGTCAGCGTGATGCTTTCATGTTCTTGAACAACGAGAGGCTCTTTCTGGACAATGTTCTTTTCAAATTTAGCCTCTGGTTCTAGGAAAGACATTAAAATAGGAAAACTAATAACAATGCTCAAATCCTTAACAGAGCAGTTTTCTATTAACCATAACACCAGCTCATCCAGAATCTGTAATAACCCAGAAAATATGGCTGATTATTTGTGGTTGGTATAATCTTCAGCTGAGCGGGAAGAAAGAAAATTATCTGTCAGGTAACTCAGAGCTGCTGCTTAGCAGAGAAGAATCATAGAATGGTTTGGGTTGGAAGGGACCTTAAAGATCATCTAGTTACTACCTAAAAAAACTTTGTTCATTACAAGTACAATGACCTGTGAAATTATTTTCTCTCCCATTTTTAGGATTTTAGATCTAATTAAGGAAAAATATTAATATGTTAAACCTGAATTTATGGCTTATTTCCTTTTCTGCTTGCTCTATTCACTTTCTCTTGGATTCTTCTCTACCTTGTACAATGCTTTACCAGAAAACTGGGCAGTTTTGGGACACATACAGCAGCAGCCCAGAGTTTCTTAGTCACCTTTCTCTATAGCTTTATTTCTGCTCCTCAAAACTTCCCATTCCTACTTTCAGCTCCCCACCACTTAACAAAGGTTGGGCGAAGGAGACACTAAGCAAAAACCTATATAGCATTTCCATAGCCAAAAAAAAAGTCTTCAGCCAGATTTCCTGCCTCCACATTGCTAGATTTCATGTGTGAAGGCGTTCACTCATGTTGCTCCAGAGGAAATGTTAGCTGCACCATGGCCACTGAGTAAGGAATATCCAGGTTTCCTCTAAGCCACACAGATTGCTGCTTAGCACCCCAAAGTGAGTACTCACCAGTGGGTTTCAACTTGAAGGTCAGCTTCTGGCCTGCAGCCTCACAGATGTATTCTCCAGCATCTTTCTTCTCCAGTTGATCTATAACAAGGCGCCGGGTTTTGCCCACAGTTTCTACTTTGAATTTTCTAGAGGAAATGAGCAGTTTTCCATCCTTGTACCATTTTACTTCAGTTGCATCCTGTGCTACCTCACAGCTGAGGGTGGCACTTTCTGTCAGGACAGCATTCACCTCCTTCTGGACCTTGTCTTGGTTTATAAATGCAGGTTTTGGCTCTGAGCGCAGAAAAGGAAGAAAATATTGATTGAGGGACTAAAATGAGATCAGTCTTATAGATTTCTGTGCAGATGTTTGGAAAATATTTAGGCTGCCACTTGCCAAAGCCAATTGCATTCACTGGGCAACATCGACCCTCCTGGGTGACCGAAAGGCAATGTGGGAACTAACAAAGCAAGAGCTTAGGAATGCAAAGGCCCAAGAGGGTTCTTGACACCCATCCCATGGTTGCAGGCCACTATGCAAAAAATATTTAATTCAAACATTCCCAAAAACCATCCATCCTGCCTATCACCAAAAGTTCCCAAATTCCTTTTACTTAAGACCTTCTTACTTAAGTGAAATGCCAAGGTCAGAAATATTGAACTATGGGCTTCTGGAACAGACATCATGGTCTCTTCCCCTGTCACAAACATGACAGTCAAAGGGACAATAGACACATGATCTCCCTGTAGTGCTAAGGTAGGCCAGGATCATGGCTGGGAAGGCACCCGGGATCGTTTGCAATGTCAACACACCCTTTGACATCACATGCTTAAGGCAGCTTGGGCATCTTGTGAATCCTACTCCAAAAGACCAATTTCTGGGAATCCTAGATGACAAAGGGAGAATTAGCACCTGGTATAAATAGTAAAACATCTCAGAAGGCTGAGATCTCAAACACACAACAGCACAATTTCAGAAAAAATGAATTCTCAACCATCTCGATGAGTGCAACTGCCACTGAAAATGAAAAGACACATTGCAGCCTCCTGTTTTTTCAGAAATGTGATTGCAAGTCTAACAGGAAAAGGATCTTTGAATGGTTCTTTCCTTTTTTAATGAGGTTCAGTATGCAAGAATCATTTTTTGGGATCCCAGGAACGGGAGAGATCTGAATAAAATGTAGATTATTATTTCTATGATATTTATATCCGCAATTATTATCATAGACAGATTAAGAATGAGACAGGCCTTTGTGCCATGTTACAGCCAAATATTCCCATTTCTAAAGCTTCAGGCAATCAGGTACAGAAAATCAGGAGAACCCTACAAGGTGCAAGGGAGGCCAGACTACTGTGATGGAGTCATTATCTCATAGTTATTAAAGTTAATGAATTATCCTCTACTGTAATTGAGACAAGGAATGTCTCACCTGTGACGTCAAGCCTGAA